TGATATATATATATATATATATATATATATATATATATATATATATATATAAAAATCTATTAAATTCATCCAATCTATATAAAATATTAAATTTAAAATGAATAAATGAAAACAAATATAACTTTTTATATATATTAAATATATCTATAAAAAACATAAAATAAACAATTTATGGTAATGAAACTCAGAAATCATTATTTTGTTTAAAATTCCATCAAGTTTCAAGAATAATTAGTATTATATAGTTCTGTTAGCTAACCAAAATTGGATTTTGTAAGTTGGATTTAAAGCACAATAAGTAAGAAAAGCAAATAATCATATTTGGCAGTAGATGCAATCAATGAATATGAAAATAAAATTCAATTAAAAAATGATTGATCTACAATTTAAAAAATAAAGTTAAAAAAGAATATTTTAAAGGTCACGAAACTTTCAAAACTAAAAATATTACCATAGGACAGGAAGACAAAATAAACAAAAATTGAATTATTGGCAATCAAACATTAATTATAAATAAAACACATAATTTATGCAATTATAATATTAATGAGAGTATAATATGATGAATAATAGTCACTGCCTTTATCAAGATTTTTTATATATACTAAGCTAACATAATAAAAAACATATAAAGTATAAATATCATGAAGTATTGTTCTACTTCTACTTTTTTTTTATATATAAAAAATATTCTAACTTACTTTAATTCTTTGGTTTGCAGTATTAATTTTAACTTGATCATTTTCTAACAAATTAATTTCAATTTGTTTTTTTCTTAAATTACTTGTTAGTTCTTCAATATATTTTTCATTTGACCTAAGTGTCTTTTTCAGTTCATTCAATTCATATTCAGTACAATTTCTTGATGCAATATCATTTTGATATTTTGTGAGTTCCAAGGTAACCTTTAAAAACAAATAATTTACTAAACATATAATATGAAGTTCTAATTATTAAAATTTCATATTTAAATATAATTATTCTACAAATTTTCAAATATAAATTATAGAAATATTTACACTAGCTAGCTTATCTTCAAGATTTTTATTTTCTTTATCAAGGCTTGATATTCTATGTTGATTATCTTCCACGATAGACTCAATTTTTTTCAATAAATTATCATTTTCTTCCTTTAAATTTAATTTTTCACTTCGGACTTCTTTTAATTTAGTATCTAACTGGTCAATCTAGAATATTTTAAATAAAATTTAAGTTTTATTGATAGATATTAATTTTAAATTTTATTATCCAAACCGTTAATTTTGCTTTATTGACATTGAATTCTAATGCAGATTTTTCCTTTTCAAATATAAGATCAGATTCTCTTTTAAGGTTGAAAAGATTTTTATTTCTTTCTTGTAGAGAAGCTATTTCAGCACGGGCATTAATTAATTCTTGTTTTATATGACGTGATTCCCATGGTGAAGTCACTGGTGCTAAAAACAGAAGTAATCTATTAATGCTACAATTAGCTTTAAATCAATACTATATATTTTAATAATTTAAGCATACTAAGGATAGATTCTTGCAAATCAGGACTGCATGACCGTCGTCGTTTATTTGACAATAACAATGAATCATTAGATGTTAAACCCATGCTTGTATCGTAGTGCATCTGCATAGACTTTGACCGGTTATTCGAACGTAAATCGTCCAATATTTTGATTACGAATGTCTGATCATTGTCCTTAGATTTATTCATGTTCGATTGTATTTTGTGTTTCAGTGATTGAAATTTACACGATACACAATATTTTACAATAAAACTTCAAAAGTAAAATGAATTTAAAAAAAAAAAAAAGAAAAAAAACAGAATCTAATCTCAAGACCGAAAATTTATAAAATTTTCAATTATATCCTTAACAATGATAATAATATTTATTATTTATATTTTTTTATAAACTTGTTACAACAGTTTTTATGTGGCAATGTTACATTTGACCTGGCCGACATTGCTCCGATTGTACGCTGGATATCCCACTAATACCACGGTATAAAAACCATGGTATGCACAAGTATTAACATAATATAGATTTCACGAATTGATCTTCGCAAGAAGAAATTGTTTGTGTCCGTATATAATATTGCCTACATTAAGCTTTTTTTTGCAACTATCAAATTGAGAAAATGATAAAATCATTTTCATTATAATGGTTTTATATATTGCTAAATTTAAATTAAAATTAAAATAGTTAAATACATTAATAGTTAAATAAATTTAATAATTTATAATTCGAAAAAAAAACACAATACCGTAATATAAATTTAAAAATACAAAATTCATTGCGAATATTTCAAGGGAAAATATAATACAAATGTTATAATTAGGTTAAATATTTAATATTTTTGTTATAAAAGCATATCTAGTTGTTTAAAATTTAAACCCTGGGTCCCATCAACACAGATTTAGTCATTTCCAAATAAAAATATCATATTTTCCTAAATTTGTTATAAAATCATATTGCACAGTATATAAAATACAAAATTGGATTATTAATACATTTTATTATTTGGCCCATAATTGGGCCATCGCAGTCATACTATAAACATTTCAATGTTATTCCTTCCACAGAATTTTGGACATCATTCAATACCCTTTGAATAAGAACCAGTATAGATAGTAGTATAGTATTAAATAAAATTAAATAAGCTACCTGTCAATTTTGCTCTATCAGCTGTAGTAAACCTTAATTTATCAATTTTATTTTGGTGCTATAGTTGAGTATTGCTGTATCTTACAATTAATTCATTGTCCTTTTCGTTCAATAAAGATTAAAATATAGTACTGTAAACTTAGAGGTATGGAGAAATATGAGAGCAATAAAAATGTTATCTTTTTTAATTACTTTTGACTTTATACTTTTCTAATATTCTGTATAAACCCAGCAGATAGTCCTATGGATTACTATGTATCCATCTGTTGAAATTAAACAATACACCCAGTATATTAAGTATGTATTAGTTTATATTCATACTATAGTTTTAAGTGTATATATACATTAGTATAGTCAGCAATTAATGTTGAGATGGCACATTCTCTATGTCGAGTGTGGCATATATACAAATATTATAACACAGCTATACGGAGGTAGAGGTAGTCGAGACATGCGACCGGTTGCCATTGTACGAAGTGCGTTGTGTATCATTTTATTATTCATGATATTAAATTGTTTATTAATTTAACCTAAACATGTCTGTATCTACTTATAAACCGATTCCACTCAACACCATCATACTATGATAACCAGTGTCTTCACAACTAATCTTGATTATTTTATCTGTAATAATCGGGAATTATAATGAAAATTATGTTATCGTTTTATCAATGTTATCACATATTGTTAGCTGCAAAAAAGGGGCTAAATGTAGGCAATATTATATACGGACATCCTGCAAAGATCCATTCGTTAGATTTCTATGTGTATCATAGATATTATAATATTAAATTTATTATCTATATCTGCGAGTATACTATATATTAATCTGTGTCGAAATACACTAAACCATATGTATTAATTTACATATACATACATATATATATATATATATATTTATATTAACCCTTATTGTTTATATATCTGTGCAGGTCCGTCGCGAAAAGTGTTCCGTTCTTCGGCTAACAAAATGTCGCTCTTTCAATCAAAAAAAAAATATATACATAATACACAATTTTTGTGTATTATTAATATAATAAATAATGTTTTACAAATTTTATTTTATTTTTGTATTCAATAAAATGCAAAAAGTGAATACAATATTATTATTTCAATAAACGGTTTCTAAGCCGCATGATTGACTGCTCTATAAGTAGATGCCAGTAACATGGTTTCCAACGTCCGATCGACATAATATGTCGATCGGACGTTGGAAACTATTGTTGACTATTGTTGTCGGACTATTGTTGATATGTATATTATACATATCAACAATAGTCATTGCGTTTAACGATCATATTACTTTTTACTTTTTCAAAAATTAAATTGTTCAACTCATTTTGAACTTGTGATCCAAAATAATGAGTATGTTGTCCTTTAATTTCCATCTTTTCTAAATGATTTTTTATAACATTTTCAAATAATAAAAAGCATTTGATTAGCTTCAAAAAATTTGGCCCTCGAAGAATTCCTGGATTCGCCATATTATTTATTATCTAATAATAATTCATATGTAAATGAAATTACCATTATTAGTGTAATCATAAAATAGTATGTATTCTGTGGTACAATGTAAAATGTATCAAGAAATCAATATTAGTTATAATTTTATTTTTTTTATATGAAAGAATAAAAAAAAATTTATAACATATAATACAAGACTTCTAAGACATAAGAAACTAACAAAGATTTATAAAAAACTTAAAAAAAAATTCAAATCTTGATTTATTACAACTTTTCACAATAAATTTAAATATAATACAAAGAAAATTGGATGTATAAAAATTAAAAAAAAAAAAAATCTCTTTCATATAAATAATAACTAATGTTATATTTTAACAAATTATAGTTTCAGTATTCTATTAACTCTAATTAAATGACTTTTATTATGTATTTATTTTACACACACTATCATTAAAAACTTGTTTAAATTTATCAGCAATCTCTTCGTTTTTGAAGCGTATAGCCAATAACTCTTTTTGTGGATCTGGATAATCTTCAGTTGTGTTCATACATCCCCAGCAGAATGCCTTGTTACAGAGTTTCATCGGCAGAAGCGATATATCTGGTGTTATTAAATGGTTACAAACAACTTTAAAAACCTAAAAGATCAACCAAAAAAATTAGAATATACAATAATATCATTAAAATAATATTTTTTAGTATTTACTTTTTCTCTTCGAAATAGTAGACGATAGGTATTTTTTTCTGGGTGATACAATATTTTCATTTCACCAATTCCTCTTTCTTTATACTCATTTCCATCTTTACGAAAAAGTTTGGAACGTTCACAGAATACTATACATAAACACAACAAATATTTTAATTAAACAATATTAAAAGTAAATAATTAATATAATAGTTACATATAGTTTCATTTTCTTCCCCTGTGGAAACTTCAATAGCATCTGGAAGTGATATGATAGGTTCAAATTGAGGATCATGACTATTATCCACTTCTTCTTTTTCACTATTATTCTTCTCATCAGTAGATTTATTAAGATTGACATTTTTGCCTGCCCATTGATTAACTATGAATAACATAATAATTATTATCATACCCCATAACAAATACATTTTATTTATAAATACCATTAATAGCATTTTCAACAATGGGCTTATCTTTAATGCCAAATAAATGTTGTCCAAATTCTAATTTAGGATCTTTAGATACAAACCCAAATTTAAACAGACCGTCAGTCTTAGGATGGAAGGAAAATAAACTATCATTTTTAAATTTATTATCATCAGTCTTAGAAATTAATGAATTTTGAGTGGTATTTTGGGATTCTGATGAACCAAATATTGATGAATTAGGAGCTTTAGTTGAAGAGAAATTAAAGAAACTAGTTGATTTTGTATCACTGGTTTTAATAGAATCAGCAGAAATGCTTCCGAAAAAAGGTTTAGTTCCAAAAAGAGGTGTATTAGATGTTGATTTTTCAAATAAACTAGTTGAAGACTTATCGCCAAAAAGAAATGAAGAAGGATTGAAAAACTGCGAAACATGATTTGTTGGTGTGACCAACAAATTATTTGATGCAGAAATATTCACTGGTATTTTTTCTTTTTCTTTAACTCTTTCGTTTTCCTGAAATAAAAAGAGTTATTAAACTAAAATATATTAATATTAAAAATATTTAATTATTATATATTAAAATAATAGTTTAGTTAAAATTCTTAATGGTTTTTTTTTTTATGTATTGCAATTATAATTTTATTATCTCATAAATACATAGTTGAAAGGCCGATGGGAATGACATGCTATGAGGCAATTTATAAATTCTACAATAATAAATAAAAACAAAAAATGTATTATAATTTCTTATAAACATTATTTGGAATTCATATTCTTATAATTTTGACAAAATTAAATCATATTTATATTTATGAAATTTTGAAACAGTTTCTATAAACTATTTTCACGTAATTCCACAAGAAATTAAATTCAAATGTTACTTAGCATGTTATTCCCACCGACCTTTCAGTTATATATTAAAGATACATATAATAAAATTTAACATAAATATATTGGAAAAGAGAAACTGTTTCAAATGATTTATTTTAATTTCATAAAATAACATGTATATTTTAAATTTTAATTCTTAATTTACAATTAAAAAAAAAAAAAATTATGTTAATATAGGTAATAATTATAATATATACATGTAACATATATTTTAATGAAACCAAATTATTCAAATACAAAATTAAGAAAATCTTACAAAAACTACAAGAATAAACAAATCATAACAGTGGCTAAAAACATGTAGAGCATATTTGAAACATTTATTTATTATACAGTTATCAACTTTGATAACAATAAATATAACAACTCTAAAATAACAAAAGAAAATTTACCCATATTTAAACAAGCAACACATTTTTTACACTCGAAATGATTTAATTAACTGTCAATTATCAAAAATATTCAGATGAACATATAAAAAATAAAATATGAATTAGAAAAAATTCAGAATTTAGATATTGAAGAACAAGAATTGACTACGAACTTATTCAACCTAAAACTATATAAAAATTTGGCTGA